GGCACGGCAGGGTGGTGTAAGTGTCTCTGTGTGTGTGTGTGTTCCTGAAATTTCCCCTTTTCATCTTCCAACAATTCTGTGCAATTTTAGTTCATCAAACCCAAATTTTTAGCACCTTGCCTGATTGCGCAATAGTTTGACCACATCATACGGACCACTGCTGCATTTCGGAACTTCCTATCACTTTGGGCACGTCGTCGCGCAGCGCTTCAGCCAAGGCGCGTGTTCGTCGCCTTCAACGCGGTTGGTTGTTCCTGAATTGAACCAACCCGAGCCAACGTGTCCCACGCGTGACGACGGGATGGAGATACTCTGTATGGTGTTTTCCAATAATACACGTTTACATACATCACACAGCATCGTACCAATTCAACGTTACAGAACCGAGCGCACCCGGGACCCATCGTCTCGGGGTTCCTGTGTATCCCGTATACTCTCGTATACGATATCTTCCGTACGAAAACCCTTCCCGGTATATTGGTTGGACGACGTACGCGACTTGAAATCCAAAAAATCTCATCAAATGACAATAGTGATGCGACAGTGATAACACCCAAGCTAACCCCCTCGGCCGTCACACCTCCGGGCACCGGGGCTCCTTTTCGGATTTCCCAAGTGCCACCTACTACTGCATGCACTTTCACATCGTACCCAGTAATTCCCATTCGTTCATTCATTCATTCACCCAACCCTTTTCCAGCTCGCGCAGCCTTCTTCCAGTCTCGGCACGTCGAAATCTCGGGGAACCCTACGGCAGTGCTTCCACAACGTCGCATCCGTATGTTGGAACTAACGATGCCCGTAGAGGCGGTAGTGTCTTGGTAGCGTCATTGGCGAATTGCCCCTACACACCACACACACACACACACACACACACACACACCCCTCTTCTCGAATCTCTTCAGCTCCTATTCCCAGTTCTCGCCCGCGCCCCGGCCCGTAGCCCGGCTCGTAAATCCCATCTTCCGCGTGAGACCAGACCGAATCAAAATTAAAAGTCTAGAAAAACAAAACAAAAAGATAGGGATCCATATCCGTACGTACTACTAAGAGAGTCGCGGAATAGTAGAATCAGCCCCCAAAATAGGTTTTTTTTGTTTTTTTTTGGCAGAAACCCAAAACCTCAACGTCACATCCGAACATGCAAAGGTCTTGGCAAAGAAATTCAAAAGTGGCAGCACCATTTCCAGATGGCCACGTCCCATACCATCATCCATGCCATCCGAACGAACCCTTTATCCAAACTCTTTCGCGCCGTTGCGCCCAGTCATATAGCCTCTAGACCACGGCATCCCAGCGCAGGAACAACTTGCTTTTCAAACCATTCCCTGAATATTGAAAAATTCCTTCACCTGACTTTTTTATTTTATTTTTTATTTTTATCTGATTGAATATCACTCTCGCCTCAAAAAAGTACACCACCCATGTCGGTCCGTCTTCCCCGGCTGCACGCACACACGCCACGCCCGTGACGCACCACCATGCAAACCACGATCTACGACACAGCTCAGAGAAAAATCGACAAAAAAGCAATATGGCCTTGTTTCACCTCTTTTCTTTTCTTTTTTGACCTTGCCTGGCTTACCATAGTCCGAATGAGGATTGATCAACGAATCACACACCACCACCACCATCACCACGACCCCTTACCTCCCCTGCTCCTCCTTTTCAAGAGAATCAAAAGTCATTCTTGTCTTGTCAGCATGTCTCTCACCATGATTATCCCCCCCCCCCCCCGCTAAATCGATTGACACTGCAGCGCATAAGCGCCCGACCGGTTCCTCTCTCTTTCTCTCTCTCTCTCTCTCTCTCTCTCTCTCTCTCGCTAGTTCCGCGTTCCTCAAAGTCTCTGATCAGACGGAAGGGGGCCACTAGTAAGGTATCCGTACCCAGACAGCCAGACTTATCATAGGAGAGGAGGGTGTGTGGCGGCAGAAAACGGCTGAGATAGCCGACACGGAGCAGGCTCCTTTGCTTTCCACAGTCTCATTCGACTCGTCCTGTTCGAGTCGCCGGCAGGCACAACGCACGCGCACCACGCATACATATATACACACACAACGTGTCGTCGGCACGCGTCCGCGTCCCCAGTCGATCATGCAAGTCGTCGTAGTGCGCATGCTCCCCCCCGTGATGTGTCGTGCCGCCGCTTCTGCTACCTCAAGCGCCTTTGCCCAATTCGTTGTCATGCCCAATATCATACCATGCCAGCCGGTGGTGACTGGATCACCAAACTTGAACTGAGACCCTTCCTTTCGCCTTGGCCGGGGGGAGGTCTAGGTCTGAGGTAATGATTCTTTCCTCGAGCATGACGATGGCGGATGGGCGGGACGCAGTCGCATTCCTCCAGGCCTAGACCCTCTCCCGCATCCCGCATCCGCATCCCGCATCCGAACCCCCGGCGCCCCGATCTTGTGTGGCTCCCCTCTCATTCCCCTCCCTATAACACTATCCGATCCTCTACTTTGGTATTCTAGATACTTTACCGTGGCTACACCAAACTAGGCTGAACCTCTCTCCCTTCCCTTACGGATAGACGTCCCGTGTGTGGGTGACTAGCTCTCTCTCCCTTTGCCCCCTTACGGCGCACCAAAGTTGTGGGGAGCCCCTGCGATTAGGAAACCCTCAGCTACCTATCCTTTACCTTACTTTTTGCCATGTCTTGCCGTTGCATCGCCTCTCCCGAATCCTGAGCCCTTCTCTTCCCTGTTTGAATTGCTCGGACACCTCACTTTCGATTCAGTCAAAAATTCTCGAGATGAGTCGAATGTGTCGAGTCGCATGGCATGGCATCGAGAGCAACCACCGCCGCCCTCGTATGGGGGTTGAGGAATGCTCTCGTCCAACAACAGCCCCTGTCCGTCTCAGATGCATCCTGCACACACTCACGCACATCTGCCAGATCTGGAATGTCTCTACGTCAGATTGGGCACTCGCCTAGGTAGGCAGAATCAGATAGGGCTTCAACTCAAATATCGGTGTGCAAGCAAAAAAGGCGAGGTGATGTAATATGATTTTGGAATGTTTCATTGTTTCGAATTTGGATATCTCCTTTTCCTATGCGCTGGCGCTGTGTAGCTATCTTGGCTCTTATAGATGGCAGTACAATACATATGCAGTCTAAAGAGGGCTAAACCCGCGGGGTATCTTCTTTTGTCAATCCCAGAGCCCATCCAAGCCTGCTGTGTCCACAGATGGACGATCGACTGGCCGTGGAGCCTCTGGTCTCGAGCACACCATGAGAAAGCAGAAAAAAAGAAAATGGGGAAATAATAAAGGTGTAGTGGTAGTAAATCCGTCATCGCCATCGCCTTGTTATTCTGACAAGGGAGGAATAAAAAAATAAAAAATAAAGTAGGAAAGCGTTGCTGACATATCCTTGGTGCTCTCGCTCAAACCAGGACCGCGAGGTAGCTGGTTGTGCGTAAAAGTCGACCAAACCTAGAGAATACAGGGGGTAGTTGGTACAAACAAAATGAAAGAAAATCAAAAGTCTATATGCGAATCAGTTCTTTTCCCAGTCCAGTTCCCAGATTTTTTGTAGCCCGTCCCAGAATCGCATTGCCCAAAAAGTGAAAGCAAGAGGAATGAAAAAGGAAAATAGAGATGAAAAATAAAGGAAAACAAGCGCCTGAAGCTGCATGTTTCTTTTGCGCCCTTGTCCGAGGAACCCCATGTAAAAGGAAGATTGTCGTCTCACACCCTCGAATTTGACGGTTGAGGCGGCTGCGAGCCATGTGCGTCGAGGATGGTGGTTGCGTTGTCATGCGTTGCTGCCCGACCAAAGTGCCTGCGAAGCACTCACCGACAGTTTGGAATGGATCCGCCGGGGATATTGTGCCGTCGCCGAGTGTCGTATCGTAGGACGTCGAGGGCCCAGATGAGGGATGTGAGAGCTGACAGGAAACAAAACGTTTTGAAAAAACTCCCGTCGAAAAGGAGCCAAAATTCAAGAAACCCAGATCCGTCTATGTTGTAACGCCGTGCCCTTTTTTCTTCTCCCTGGTGCAGGTGGGATGAAGTGATCCCACAAACACACAAAATAAAATCGATGCCACATCATGAAAACCGTGTAAGGCGTTCCCATTCGCCTTGCTGCTGGGAAGCAAGTTGTGGCTGCGAGCCGGTATGTTCTAGTCTTCGACAGGTATGCGTATTAAATGGTGTATGATGAAATGTTGCGGAAAAAAATCGGCCAGGACATTGTGGTTGTACAGATGAGGTAGTACAGGTGGAAATGGACCGCCAGTATTAGTAGAGTCGTAGAGGATAAGTGTGGGTTGAGTGTGCATGATCGAATGAGACACGCGGTAGCGCAGAGAGTAGGGGGTGTTTGGATCCTCTCGAGATCGCTCGCGTGGGAAAATCATCGCGTTGGCCTGAGCCCGCGGACCAGTGGAGATGTGGAATTCGTTCGTCGGATCGTGCTCATGGCACGTCAATCGCGTGTCGCTCATCAGGATACATCAGCACGAGGCTGATTTATCGAGGCTTGGGGCGAGGAGGAGGCTTGGGCACTCCAGTCGTGTCGTAGGCACCGCGGCCCATGTTGGAGGCGGGAGTGATCTCTCTGACAGCCATTTTGAATGTTGTAGGTGCTTTCGAAAGCGAGAACTGATTGAGATTGAGCGTCTTTGAAATCGCTTGTTAGCCATGATTCGATCAAATATCTCGAGGATAACGAGGACGGAGCGTCAACTTTATACAAGCCAGACGCGACATGACGGTGAAGATGGTTACAGGGCAGTCCGGTGTAGGACATGGGGAGTATGCCGCACAAGGTGTAAAAAATTGGCTAGTGGATGCCGTTGCTGCAACTCTGACTCACAATTTAGAAGGTCGTAGTGCGACGTGTTGGAAAGCGGCCTTGAAGACTTGGGTGCGAGTGTCTTCAGGAGATGGGATTGGTGAGAGTTGACGGGGGTGAAGAGGCGGTGATGATGCAAGGAGGCCTGGGTATGTTGCCAAATTGGGCGTCACCAATGCTGCTCGGTTGTTTCGCAGAAAATAGGAGGAGCTGAGGCAAAACAGGCGGTCCGGAGGAAGCGAGGGAGTGTATTATCGGCACCGTTGCATGTGGATGGCTCGAGCAGGATGGGCTTTGCGCAGTTGCAGACGGGGAAATCTTTTCTGTCGTGTTGTGGGTGTGCCGTCGGGGGTTGGTTGGATATCGAGACAGTTGGTTGCGCAGGTCTCGGAAAGTCGCTTCTCAATGGGGAATTGTCCCTTGTGTGTTTTGGTGATATTATTTGATTCGGTTCGGGATCGGGGTCTTGGAATAAACGGGTTCCCTGGGCAGTCTTGTATTTCTGTCCCGTGTTCTGATCCTCTTTGTGAAGCGCGGGTTGCGGAGAGTATTGCCAGGTATGGTAGGCGTGTAAGGTGAGGTGCGGTACGGTACGAGACGAGGATGGCTTGCTGCAGCTTCTCTCGCTAGTCTACTGAGCTGAGAAACGGGCAATAACTGCTTTGCTAGTGGGTCGCGCAAACGGCTCTTTTGTTTGGAGTGTTGGCAACGTTGGTGGTCCCAGGGACTGCGGTGAGCTTGCAGGAGAAAAAGGGGGGCGCGTCTATGTGTGTGATGGAGCGCGCGCGAGAGCTGGTGCTGCTGCTGGTTTGATGCTTATGCGTGGTGGTAAAGCTAGTGGATGCTGGCAAGTAGCGCAGAAAGATGTAGGAAACTGAATGTCGTGTGAGAGATGTAGAGAGGCCAGAGCGATGCGCCGTTGAAGAGAGGGGGAGAGGATGGGAATAAGAAGGAGGATGGTAAGTGAGGATAGGAACTCAGAAGAATGGAAACAGGAGATGACGGATGGGAGGGAGGTGATTAAGAAGTCTCTCTCTCTCTCTTATTCCAGACGCCCCGAGCGAGAATGGGAAATTTTTTCTTGTTCGCAATGTAAAGTAGGTAATGTAATGTCAGGGCGGGAGCGCAGGGAAGGGGGGGGGGGTTCATGGGCTACTGGTGCTGGACTGGAACCATGTAAGGCGACTTGCAAGGTGAGGTAGGGCCAGGAAGAGGTAGGTACCTTTTTTCCTTCGGGGCTGTCTGATCAGGTCCAGGACAGGTCTGGTCTGGTTCTGGTAGGTAATGGTCCTCAGGTTTCGTGGTTCCTTTTTTTCCTCTCTTTCCAGTTTCCACCAAAAAATTAAAGGGCAAAAAAAAGGGAACCAAGGGAAGGGATGGATGGGGACCAGCATCTTTGGTTGCTGCTGCTGCTCATCCTGCAAGCTGGAAACCGCACCCTCCCCCCCCCCTGGACGAGACGGCTAGGTCCTAGGCAAGGTACCGTGGTACCCAGCCGGTAGACCCTAGGCCCCAGGCCCCCTTCATGTTGTCCAGGGGGGGAAGGAAGGAGATCATGGATGAGAGAAAGGAGGACGGGGGGGAGTGTGGCATTAGCCAGCCAAAGCCACGCCAGGCCCTGGCCTTCCTTGCAAGATGCCCGTCCCATGCCACGCCACGCCATGCCATGCCTATGCCAGGTACCCGTACTCCGTACCGGGCCCCAAAAGTAGGAAGAGGCGTTTTGGGTACGAAGTACTCCGCAAAGTACCTACCTACCTTGCTCACTGCGTAGGTAGTGCGTACCCAACTTTAGCTACCCGTACGTAGCCCGTTTTGTGCCTGGCACCTTGCCTTACTGCGTACTCGGCCAAGGTATCTATCTATTTGGTGCTCTCAGAAGATGAACAAAGTGAAAACACTTCAGGCAAGCCAAACGGATGTCCTTGCTCCATGCCGATAATCAGGTACGTATGGATGATCTTGACTGTCCCTGGGTATCCGTATATCCGCAGTAAAGAAAGAGGGAGAGCGAGAGATCGAGATAGACGGCTGAACCAATCTGCTTGTTCCACTGTTCGATGATTGTACGGAGTACGTTGTACGTATTTGTTGTCTAGAGGCGAAAGCAAGGAACGTAGAAAAGTACAGAGTAGAGTTAGGTAGCGGCTACCTCACAGCCGCTTCCTCCTTGGGCTATCGGGGAGCTCCTGGAACTGCACCAATCGAGACTAGAGCCGTGCCGTGGCTTCTCGCCGGTGGTGCGCACTGCGTGACTGCGCAAGCTTTGGTGTGGCAGCAGAGAGCGAGAGAGAGAGACAGAGTCAGGTATCGAGGTCTCAGGGCATTTGGCCTCTTTTTTGGCTTTCAGGGAGAGAACGTCTGAAATGGTGCAATGCCCTAGCCCGACCGACTTGAGGCGGCGAGGTGAAGCAACTTGTATGGTGCTTACTTACCTCACCATACTTTTCCGTGTCCTATTTTCAGGCCCAAGTGTCTGTCTGTCTGTCTGTCTGTCCACTACTCGTCACGCCGCTTGTCCCCAGTCCGCCTATCCCGTACCTAGTATTAGCTGCTGATCCTACTTTGCGCCAGCTGGTCTTCTGCCAGCACTTTACTGTTGAGGCCCAACCAGCATGGTTCATGTCTGCACAACTGGCGCGACCCGGGGAGAAAATTCAATGGCGAAGCTGCCAAAATCGCGGCCTTGGAAAGGAAAGCAGTGTGCGAAAAAGGAAAACGACAAAGAGAAAAAAGACAATGCGCAAATGCAAAAGGGTCTGTCTGCCATGACTGATTTCCGGTACATTGGGCTGGTCCACTCATGGAAGCATCAGAAAGAGTGCAGGGCTCCTCATGTAACAGGACACTTGCGCCGCATCGCCGGTACGGATACACTGTGTCTATGCACAGAGTATTCGCCTATGAGGCATCTCAACCACAAGAGCATCCGCAGTGGAAGTGAATCACGTCCATCCGCTTGGGACAGCCAGACCACTGACCAGCAAGTGAGGTAACTTCTGTCCCACAACAAGGACCGCCGAAATCGAAGATGGGGAAAGGGAGAGAGTAGGTGCGAAGCACGCAGTAGAAAAAGATACTTACCTTGAGCCTGGTGCCCCGTACTGGACGGCAGTGAGGTCAGGTATCCACCGGTGGATGCATGGAACGTCAACGCCGAGGTTCCTTTTGCCGGTACGTATCGCTCCGTCCGTCCTCACCTTAGGCTCACCGGATCACTTCGATTTCCTCCCCGTCTCCATCTTTGCTAGCAGCCTGCGGATTGCCCTTCTGCTGGTGTCCTGCTGCGCTCTGCACTGACGGTTGTCGCCCCTACTGGGGTCTTCCTGAGATACCACGGAGAGCAGGGGTCGGTGGCCTCCAGGGGTGCACTCTATCCGACCAATTCATCCATCCGTCCACCCATCCACGCACACATGAATGGTGACGGACGACTGGAGGACGAGCCTCGAGGTTGCTTCCAATTCACGTTGCCATGCTGCTGCTTGTTGCCTGTGAGCGTGTGTGTGCGTGTGTGTTTCCGTACCGATATTCGTATGTGTCCTTCCCATGCATGCTTGCATACCTCCCTCCCTCCCTCCCTCCATGCCTCCC